AAGAAAAGGCTCAAATCTTCTCACATACACCAAAAAGGGCCTTACTACTTTTTCCTTTCTGGCATGGGTTTATTTATGGACTTTTCTCCTTCTCCTCTCGGCCCAAATAACAGCCCATATAATATGGGTATGGGAGCCCATTTTGATCCTTGAGATTGTGTTAAGTGGAGATGCTATTTCAATGGTCCAGATGTGTGAGCAAATGTTTCTTCTCAACATACGTCATATCAGTCCACGTGTAAAGCAGGGAGATCCAACGGTGAATCAGAAATTGTAGCTAAAACGAACGGCGGGGTGGACGCTATAGCTAAGCGTCCTAAGCTTAGCTATAATGATAGCTCATCAAAGACTATTTACCAGTCTTCAGAAGCTCCCGCTGATCTTATCTTACATGGTAAAACTTTTTCAACCTCGAAGAAACTTGGGTTTTTTCAAGAATTGACAAGTTCTCTTATCATGCAAGAACACATAAGCTTTGAAGGGCTAATTTTTCAGAGGGAGAAGAAGCATTTGTTTCCATCTTTTAAATAACAATTTTTCAAGTATAAATGGTTTTCTTTGACCTGTCGATTGGGGTCTGCAGAGCGACGCTGTACTTGCCAAGATCAGCTTTCTATCTTGAAGAAAGAGCACTGTTGCTTTTCAAGGGAGCATACACAGGATAAGCATTAAGTTAACGTTCTGGTTTCTAGCTGAGCTTATGCCAAAAAACTCCCGCACATGTGGATAGTACTGTTGGAGAGCTCTAAGGCTGTGTTTGGTAGAAAACATTAAAATTAAGATATTGGGATTGGGATTATAATTAAGAAAATTTATTAAAAGAGTACTTAATATAAGAGATTGCTTATTATACGGGATTATCTAAAGCCATATATGTGGGATTAGAGAATACTATGGGGGGAAGTGGTATTCCCCAATCCAACCCTTATGGTTTTGCCTAATCCCATATAAAAATAATTATTTATACTAAATATTATTTTAATATCTTTTCAATTGTAATCTCAATCTCAACCTACGTAAGTTCTTCAGCGGCCGTTTAGACGTCCATCAAGCAGTGCTGTAACCTTTTGTCTCTTGGTGTTCTTTTAACTTTTTAGTCTCTGTTTCTCTAAATTTCTGGGGATATTGCTCCTTCATGTTTCTTGTGAACTACTTAAGCAGTGTTTGGATTAACGATAACAAAAATGACTTTTGTTTCATCTAACTTTTACAAACTTAAATTAAAATAAAAATGAGTTAGTGTAATATTATTTATGTTTGGATTAACCTTTATAAAAAAGTGAATTTGACAAACTAAAACTTGTTTGATGATAATTAAAAAGGTAAGTTTAGAAATAAAATGATTGAAAGGGCATGAAATTTATTAAATTTTTTTTGCCAACCATGAATGTTATTAAATTAAATAATACTTTTGGCTTGACAAATATTAAAATTAAAAATTAAGAAAAGTAGTTAATATAAATAAAGTTGACAAAAAATTATTTGAAACAGATTTTATTTTTTTTATTTTTAATGAATTAATTAGAGTGACTTATACTATGCATTAAAGATTTTCCCAATTTTTTCTAAATTTTATAAATATGATTGGAACAATAAATGATAATACATTTATTTTCTAAAATATGACTTCATAAATGTAGGAATGAAACCAAAGAGATTAAGATACAAAAGAAGGCTTTATGTGCTTATACTGTTGTTTTGTTTTGTTGATTATTGCTTTATGTGCTTTTTTTTTTTTTTTTATACAAAAGAAGGCTTAACGCCTAAAGACTAAGAAAATAACCAGGGGGACTAAATCCCATACACTCGTGATCCACTAGCTTCCTTAAATTAATAGGACACCCCTTTAAAATGGACGATTCCGTGATTCCTTCCTTTACTAGATGATCAGCCATTTTGTTCATTTCTCTTGAAATATGCTGCACCTCCAGCTCCCAAGCATACTGCATTAGCCTTTTAATCTGAATCATCAACAGGCTGCAACTCTCATCACTAATGCCTTTTACCATCATGTTTACTATATTCTTTGCGTCTGATTCAAGTATAACTTTCTTGAATCCCATCTCCCAAGCAAGGTTGAGACCTTTAAAGATGGTCCATTCTTCAGCTTCTGAAACACTGCAGGATCCTTAAAAATACTTAAAGCCAGCCACCCAAATCCCAGCATGGTTTCTGATAACTCCACCACATCCAGCTCTGCTTTAGGACTTAGTAACTGCACCGTCTACACCGTCTACGTTGATTTTGATCCATCCATATGGCGGGGGTTGCCAACGGAGATCAGTTCCCTGGGGGAGCTTGCTATCAGTTTCAGCAACCTGTATGTTCACATAGTACATCCAACTATTCTGTGTTATGAGCGTTGGATCCGGAGGCTTGGTGAAATCTTCATCAAATACATCCCTATTTCTCCACAACCATAATTTCCATATTGAGACACCCCATATATAAGGCCAATTACCATCACTTTTTATGTGCTTTTTTCATGTTTCAGAAGTTTTGAGCCAGCCTGATCTTTGATTCATTTGGGCTTCGCTCAAATTAACTAAATGTGACTGGCTGGTTTCTTTATGCCCAATCACTTTACTTCGTTGAATAAAATTGTCTTTTTCTCATGAAAAACAAAAGAAAAGTCAACTTTTTTAATTTTAAAAAATGGAACTTCCTTTTTCTCTCTGATATTTAATTCGCGGCCTCAATCAGAATGGGATGTTGGAACAAGACACGACTGTTGGGAAAACGTGAGATATGATTAACATAAATAAAACTATCTAATTAGATTAGACTCCTGTTAATATCAAACAAATCAAATGGTCCCTTTTCGTATTATGTTTTCATAAAAATAAGAAATACAATATTTATTTTAATTACTTTAACAAAATTAAGTTTTAAAGATCATTCAGTATAATTTTTTTTTGTCATTACTTGATGACCAAACAACACGGAAAGTTACTCCCTCCAGTCCTAAATATAACACTACAAAATGATTCTTATATTTAAGACCGGAAGAGTTTTTTTTTTTTTTTGAGCTTAGCAGCTCCACTAATCATTTATCTTTTAAACCCCTAATAAAAATTTCACAAATTACAACAGGTTTTTGACCAAAAAATTGTCGCAACATTATTTTGTTCAGGACATTCACAGTCCTCTCTAAAATTTCAGAACTCCCACAAATTTCATCCTTACCTCTGATTTCGTTCTATAACATAAAAAACATAAACATTAAATGGAACAAACTCAATGAAATCTCTTAAATATGTTAAAATATGACGTATTATTCTTCTGTTCCATACCATAATAAGGTGCGCATTTGAAGGCCTGGTGGATTGCTCAGAATGTACTTTGATGCCCAAAGACCAAGTTGGTTATCTTAAAAATGAAAAATCTCAAAACAACAGACAGACAGGTTCCTATAAAATATATCCCTGATACGGACCACTTGATGAGTTTGATGATGATGATCTTGAAAGTGGTGTAATGCGGGACTAACACCTTTCTGGTGGGGTCATCAAAATTTGCCTGTGATTTAACAAGCCATAGCTAACCAACAATAATTGATTTAAGTGGCTCGACCCTGGTCTTTCTCAAACAAAGTCTTACGTTCAAGTCTTGTGTATAGAAAAAATTACATTGAAAAAGTTTTGCATCTATGTGATTTGATCCAACTTAATTCAAATTAGTCTAAGACTGATGTGGATTTCAAAAACTTATAGGTATATCTGCAAAAGTTATTGTTATGCATAAAAATCAAATCAAATGGTGTTATAGGAGAAAAAATTACACACAGGCCCCAAAGAACACAATTTATTAATCTAAAGTCTCTTGAAATCTCAAAATGAATTGGAGGTCCCATGGGACCTGAGAGTAATATATTCTAAATAAAAAATTAAGTCATTTTCCTCATTCCCAATTGACAAGCTTGTGAACGTGAATTAACATGCCAATGGAAAGCTATTAACAAGTCAAGGGGTTAGTTGGCAATTAAATTTATGAAATAATATAATCTCCACATATGATCAAATTATAACAAAAGAACATCATATAACAATCTTTAAACTGAAATTATGGGAGACAAAGCATGCAAACTGATATTAGATAAAATGATGGATTTATATCATAATTTTGTTACAATCATCTATTGACAAGTCAGAAGTGTCGGTTGACAACTAAATTTATTGGATAATATAACATCTACATAAGATCAAATTAGGAAAAATTCCCATATATTCACTATTATATGGGAATTTTTTCTAATTTGATCTTATGTGGAGGTTATATTATCCAATAAATTTAATTGTCAACCGGTACCTCCCAACTTGTCAATAGTTTCTCATTTACTTGTTAATCCATATTCATGAGTTTGTTAATGGCTTTCTGCAATGAAATTATGATACAAAACCATAATTTCATCTAATATTATTGTGCATGCTTTGATCACACATCATTTCAGCTTAAATATTATTATATAATACTCTTTTGTTATAATTTGATCTTATATGGAGGTTATATTATCTCATAAATTTATTCATCAACTGATACCTCCTGACTTGTTAGTAACTTCCTATTGACTTGTCCCTCCACACCCATGAGCTTGTTAATTGGGGATAGGAATAATGACATAATTTCATATTTAGAATATAGGTTTTATGGGATCTCCCATTCATTTTGAGATTTCAAGAGGACTTTAGATTTATAAATTGTGTTACTTGGGACCTATACGTAATGTTCCCATTATATAGAATAGTGCAAATTGTAAAGAAGCTATTTCAAGAGAAAAAGAGCGTTAATGCTCTACATTTTCGAATTTTTCTTATTGTCTTCTATTTTTCTATTTATGCATGTTTATCTTGCTCAAAATATTCTTCTGCAACTAAAAATTGGAGTGTCTTCCATTGGAGTTTTCTCCATAGAAAAGAAAAGCATTACAATGTTAGCACCCCAGGTAACTTGATGATAATATTTTTGTGTAAGAGGATCAACCCATGTAGAAGCAGAAAGATTTATTTTCTGGAGTACAAAGGATCTCTCTGCAACAAGAAAGGATAACCAATCCCTCTCCTCCTAGAAGGGAACACCACAAACAAAACACTCACAACAAAACCAACCACAAGAGGAACAGTATTGGTCACCTTTCTGGGAATTCCTGGGTAATAGCACTTGACCACATCATGATTCAACCCTGCAAAAGCAAGAAAAGAGACCAAAGAAAGTGCAGCATAGAAGAGATCACTCCATCTCAGTCTATAATCTGACGGCTCACATGGCTTCTTCCTTCCTCCATTGAAAGTCCATATCCCTCTGAATGTTGCCACCCCATAACACAGCCTTCCACTGGCTGTTCTGAAGCTATCTGTGAAGGTGAAGAGCACACAAGACGCTGCTAAGATGGCCAGAAACACGCCCATGAGCCACCGGCTCAGCACGCTGCATTCGCCGTCATCAGTCAGGATTGGTGTGAAGATGCTGAAAGCAAGAATGGTGGCCGTGGGTAACAGAACATTTAGCCTGGCTGTGCCACTGAGAATTGCATTGATGATGTAGAAGTAGTAAGATTCATCAACCTCATAGTCATCAATGTTATAGAATTCATCTTCACTTTGTTCAGCGTGGAGAATCAAGTCTTGGGTTGTTGTTGAGTTGTTCATCTCCCCAATGAAATGAGGTTGGAGAATGTTTACAAGAGGAAGCTTGTGACGATTTTAATTTTAAGATCGTGTGGAATAGGGATATGTTCCTTCCTTTGAAATGAAAATTCATGGAGGAGTATTTCTTTCTCAAGCAATAAGGCATATTTTGCCTGCTTGTTAATTAGGAGATGTCATTGCTTTCCCATGTTTCCAGAAGAAACCCACCAATTAACAATTCTTAAGGGAACCTTCACCATTACTGGGAATTCAGGCAGATACGTCATTCTGCAAATGAATTTTGAGCGGCGAGAAAGTGAAAAATTTAAGTCATCTTGCAGAGGCAATGGCGCGTATTAAAATTTTAAATTTCGCAAGCACCATAACGTATTGTGCTTCTTTTTTATTTGAAAACTTCCTTTTTAAATATTATTTCTCTAAATGAGAAAAATCTTACAAAATTACCCCCCCAGGCAGAGAATAGAGAGAAGATTTTTTATCTTATTTATATATAGATGTCATCACTTAATTTTTTTATACAAATTTGAAATTTTACCTTTTATTTATTATTGTAAAAACTTAGTTCTCATAAGAAGTAATGCATATCAAATAAAAGTAAAGTTAAAAAAATTAAATTTTAAGACATAATAAAATTTAAGGCTTCCCATGATTTCGTTGGAACATGATTATAAATAGGATCAAACAAGTATCTTTTAAGCTATATTACATTATAAATATGACATGATTCCTTCCCATGATTATTAGAGAATGTGGCGAGAAAAGGTAAGTAGTGAATTTCATCAACCATCTCTCTTCCTCCCTCCTCATTTTCTACTCCAGTCAACTAATACAAAGGATCCTCTGTTCCTCTTAGCTCGTCTCCCAAACAAAAATTCAAGGGGAAAAAGATGCTAGGAATTAGACCTTCCATTGATTTGAAGTAAGATGCTAGGAATTGGACCTTTCATTGATTTGAAGTAAATCTTTACACTTTCCCAACGCTGTACAAAAGGCATACGCATCCCATCCTGTGGACAGAAGGGACCAATCGAAATGACACCATCCCTAGAATATTGCTGAAAATGGCAGAATGACAGGACTAGGGCATATGATGTAAACAATAATGACTGCCTCTGTACACTATTACACCTAATTTCAACTGATTAAAAAATATTGAGAAACCAGGTATTGACTCTCCAGAAACCATTCGTCATCCCTCTTTGTTTTGTTGGGCAGAATCATCTTCCCCAGAGCCACAAAGTCTGAAAGGATCAGTGAACTTCTTATTGCACCAGTGATCTGGAACGCTCAAGAAATGTGTAGACATAAACTTTCTGAATCTCTTCTTGTATTCTTTGGGAGAGATTACAGTTGGCAACTGATTCTTGGGCACAACAAGTGATGTCTTCATCCAAGTCTCGAAATGCTTGTCCCAGGTATACTGCCTGAGATAATCGATAATCCCGCAAACAAGCTCGCGCCTCTGTGAATCTACTCCAACAAGTAAGGAGTAATCCATCACATTGACCGACTGCACAACAAGGAAACCATGAACTATTAGACACAAACTAACCACGGGGCACACATGTTGGAGTCATCAACAATACGCACAAAATCTACCTCAGAAAAAATGTGCGATAAAAAAATCTACCGCAGAAAAATAGAAGGATCACACCAGTCAAGGACAATCAGCAAAATATGAGAGAAAATGGGAGAAATGGAAGAAAATTAAAAATCCAATTTTCTCTAAGCACAGGTAACATTGATGAATTTAGTTCAAAGAAGGACAAGTTCATCGCGAAAATCATTAAATACACTGAAAAACGGTGGGGTCCAGGATACTATAACGATTTAAATGCAGACTTACATTAAGAAAAGTTGTGTCGTTCCAAACAGCACGGTGAAGAAGACGTTTTTCTTTATTGGCAACATACAAGGGAGAAGAGTTCATGTCATTCACGAAGTTCTGATCCAGAAGAACATCCCCAGCACTATCACCAGCAGTATTGTACCGAGCATAAAGTGCACCTTTAAGATCGTATTGGCGAGCAATATTGCGATTGTAGCTAAGATTTTCCATCACCATGAGATCATGCCTAGACTCTTTCCCACTCTTTACATTTCTTTTAGTTACCTACAGAGAGCATGAACTGCTGAGATCAATGGAAAAACAAAAAACAGGGCAAAACTTCAGTCGAGTACAAGAGATGTACAAAACAGAGACAGTAAACCAACCTGATATATCCCCAAAACTTTTGCAAGACATGTCTGACTACCAGACTCAAATGACTCCTTCATGTATTTGAAATACAAAGGAGCAAACCCCATAAAAGAATCAAGCTCCGTCTTCTTGATTTCCTTTATTATGAACCTATCATCAAGTGTCTTGGCAAAAAAAGACTTGCTTTTTCCACCCTTAGCGTCCCAATTCCTACAACGGCTTAAAGAAGCAATATAGTCTAGCTCAGATGGGCAACACCAATTTCGAAGTTCACGGAATTGATTAACATATTGACAAATCACAGAATATTTTTCCCTTCCAAGAGATTTCACATATCCCATAGCTATCTCTGTACCATTGTTTTCTGATGCTCGGGAGGCTCGTGACTCTTCAGAAGAAGCACTTCCTGTTGAATAGACAGAATCAGTGTCTGCTGCACTACCTATACTTGTATGGGGAGATGATATATCAGTCAGGCTGTCCAAAATCTCAGTCACTTTTGACGAAGTTCCACTCTCTCTCCTATAATTCTCATTGTCAACTTCTGTCACCACAGATGAATCTTTCAGCAAGGCCAGTGCACAAGCAATTATGCTTGAGAGTTCACCCTCATAGTCAGATACAACATGGTCATCTGTCCTCAGAGGGACGTGCAGCCTTATACCTTCCTCAGCAATCAGCTGATTGGCTGTAGGTAGATGTTCAGTAATAGAGCTGTTAACAGATTCGGATTTAAGCAAGCATTTTTTATGGAGCTCCCTTATGCTCACCTGTCGAATATCAACAAAAGGCTCCCAGAACCACTCATTTGAATTCAGCAAGTTGGAACCAGGCGAACGCAAGGACGCACTTTTGTTTAATACCTTTGAATCAGAGATCGAGAGATTAATATCTTTGAAAACCTGATGATTCGACACAAAATCCTTTGCTTGGAGATTTCCATCTGCAGAAGGATAATTTGTAAAATCTTCCAATCTCAAATTCAACTCCTGGTCAGAAGATCTTTTCAGGCTCACATGACCCATAATAGGCTTATCCAAATTGCTTGGAGCGTTAGGAGTGTCAGAAGGAACATCCTGTTCATTACCCTCTGCAAGAGGACCTATTATTGGAATTTCCTTTGCTGGTAGTTCGTTTACTTCAATTGGTGAGTCTGACAAAACTTCCACGTCTACATTCCTATTTATAGACCCATTTTCTTCGTTAATGGCGCTCTCCAATTTCGAATTATGACTAAGTTCTTGCTTAACTTTCTCAGCTACACCAGAATCAACTCTTAATACATCTGGTGAGAATAATGAGTGCATGCGTCGAACCCACACACAAGATTCAATCAGTAGATCCCACATCAAACGATTTAGACTCAGAAGTATGTAGGCAGCCTGGCCGGGATTACTATTCTTAGCAACAGCATTCTTAATGTTAACCTGTTACAGTGACAAAGCCAGACACAGGAATAGTACATAAATATTAAGCCAAAGCAGCAAATGAAAAGTTTCAATTCAGAAAAATAATCAAAATCACTAGAGCATGAAAATTCGATGCTGAAAGTATAACTTCTACATGTGCACAGTAATGTAGGCAATAGATATACTAAGCTTGGAGGGAGAAATATATCAGTTCCTCTATCAAACATTGCAGTTCACCTTTATTCTAGGAATCAGAATGTGTTTCAAAATATTGTTTATGTGTATGTACAGCACCAAAACTATTAAGAGAGTTGGTAAATCTCATAGTTGACAAATCAAAATGTGAATGAACTGTAAGTGTAAGCTAAGGGGAAAAAGTATTTAGGGATTACTACATTGAAATGCAACAACTACTCTAGTTGAGGGGAATCGAGTAAAAATATCAAAATCATTTAGCAACAGAAAGCTAACCTCAAACTCATCTCTTTCTTGCTTTAACATCTCCTCAACCTCAGAGAACTCTCTCATTGATCCTCCAAGGTTCAAAGCAGAACCGTCAAATTTAACTTTTAATGTCTTCAAACAGTTTGCAAGTTCTGTGAACAGTAATATGCCTTTCATAAACACCTTAACACGTAGAAGAAGATTAATTAGTGCAGGAACTTTATTAGACAAATTAGTATCAACTAAACATATTAATTTTGGACACCAACAATCAAGACAGCATCAGGAATGTATAAATAGCAAAATAGGGAAGCTTACATTCTCAACCTCTTTAAGAAGCCAATCTTTGCGAATGGCACCAGTGAACTCTAGCTTTTTAGGGGGCATCCACACGGTATAAGTAGCGACAGAAGAATATCTGAACATGGCAACCATGTGACCTAATCTGCATGAAAGGTAAAATAACTATAAGACACATAAAAAGATGCATAACATGCAGAGTTAACACCTAGCCCTCTACCTGAGTTGCTCCAAAATCATAAAGGAAGAAATTTGGGCGCACTAAAGTTCAGAGATAATATTATGAGATGGAATTAACTAAAGATTATGGAATACCCTCATTCAAAATCATTGAAAGCATATAAAAGGAATAAGATTCTAAAAATTGACGTATTGATCACACATATTAAAATTCTTTTTCAAAATGCTACAAATTAAAAGGAAAATTTACCAAGGAATATAAAATTAGAATAGCACCAAAATTGCTTATCTTTACAATCTAATTATCCTCCATCTGATCCCATGATCTGAGCATGTATATGTGTCTTCTTAAACCTGTACTTTTCAAAAGTACAGGCTATTCTAAGCAACACATGGCACAACCAAATTTCCTATGACAGACTCCAGTACTTTGTTTATTGTATTTCATTTCCTTTTCACCAACAGCAAGGTTGAGAAACATGTAAGCTCACAGAAAATGGTTTAGTAAAGAGAAATCATCATACCCAAAGAAGTACAGAAAATCCCTATCAAGAAAATGGCCACAGCTTGACTTTCGATTGGAAGAATAATGAGAAAGGCTAAGCTCCAAAAATTTTCCAAATGATAGACTACGGGCAGTGGTGGATAACAACACTCTCTTAGTTGATCCAATTTTGCATTTTCCGCAACGGCTCCACATCCAAAGTTTCCCCTCCGCTGCTCCAGGTAAACACTTCTCCTGGGGAAGTTGTTTAACTTGCATAGTAAGCTGCTTATTGTGATGAGCATAATAATAAAAGTGAGCTTCTGGTAACTCGTGACAGGTGTCACAAAGTCTTGTCTGCACATTCAATACAATAATTAGATAGATCATAGTAAAAAATAATTTAAAAAAAAAAAAAAACCAGGCAGCAGTTATATATTGGGTTTTAGTTTCAGTGCTTCTTGCTACATTGAGATCTGTACCATCCAAATAAATTAGATTTGGTCGGTCCTTGTTCAAAGGGTTTTAATTTATAATTTTAAAAAGAAAAAATCATTCTTTATAGAGTGACAAGTAGAAGATTTTTATTGTAGATTCTACATTTATTCAAATAAAAAACTAGAAAAATATAAAAAAATAAAGTAACATCAAAACTAGACCATCCATTTTAATCTGGGTCATCCACAATGGGTGCTCATCATTTTCTGGTGACCACCAAAACTCAATCCTACGTGATGTTATGTCACAGAACAAGAGATAAACAATTCAAAGAACTGGGAAAGCATAAAATATGTATTGGATTAGATCAAATTAGCAAAATTTATTTCTGAAATAGTGAAACCCTACTCTTCACAACATGCAAACCTATCTTAAATAGATGCAGGCACCGTATTCCCATTACCCCTTCAGTCATCTACTAAAACTGAAATACTAAACGGGGAAAAAAAACGAAATAAATGAAAACCTGATTGAGTAGATTATCCTGCAGAAACTTTCCGAGAGGGACATCAAAATTTTTGTAAAACATAATATGCGAGAAATGACTTTGCTGACATATAGTCCCTCTTAAGGCGTTCCGGCTAGACATCAAGACCAAAATACTCTGAGAATCCAACACAGCATTGATATCATCTTTATTTTGCAATTGATTGTTATTATCATCACCCACTATACTTTTGTCTCCATTAAATTCGAAGCACCCAGGGAAACTCTGCGATTTTCTAAAATGAAATGATTTCTCTTCATCAGAAAAAATTCTGGCTTCATTTTGTCGATTGCCGTCTGTTTCTTGATTTTCTATAACAGAAACTGGCTTGTTGACTTGACCATCTGGTTCCCCTTCACTCAGGCCAATAAACTGGGATTGTCTACCATTTGGTGCTGTCTCTCCATCAGACAAACTCCTGGGTTCAATTCTGCTGTTGTCATCTGTCTCTTGATTTTCTAGAAGAGAAACTGATTTGTTGACTTGCGCATCTAGTTCCCTTTCATTCAGACCAAAATATGCCGACAGAGTTTGATAAGGAGCAGAAGATGAAAAGGGAAAACTGTCACCCAGAACTTTCTTTAAAGAAGATGAAATGGCTGAGAATCCAGAAATAATGGTTCATGGGAAACAGGGGAAAACTCTTCCGGCCCTAAATTTGAACTGTCATTGTTTCCTTCATGGGATCCATTGCATATGGGAATTTCAATGCTAACTGGTCTGTTTTCAGCAGACGAACACTCTACAGATGGGATGCTTGAATCACTGGACTCTATATTATGGGATTTTTCATCAGTTGCCTGGGTATGTGTTGCGACATTAGCAGCAGAAATGGTAGAGAACATTGCTCTCTGGTCAACAAGAAAAGAAGTCTCAAGGATTAAGTGATATGCCATGACAACTGCACACCGCAGGACACATTTCACCCTCTTCAGCTCATCACCATTTGCTCCCTTCAGCAAAATCTGCAAAGGTATGGAAGTACTTAATAGAACCCTTTTAGATGCGAGACTCATCAGCAGGAAGAAAAAAATCTTCAACTACAGCCTTCAGGATATAAGTAGACAGTGGTGAATTATTATATCATGTGCATGTTCCTGCTTGTAGTTAAATTTATTTACCATATATTTTTATCCAAACATAGTGTATTTATGCTGTAAGTTACCCAAGCACATCTTTAGATTGATTTTTCATAGCATAATGACTTCAACCAAGATACCCGGCCGGGTGGGGGGGGGGGCTCTGAACACCCTGGCCAAAATTAACATTTTAGTACGCAAAAACATAACATTAAATTCAACATTCAAGGATACACATTTGTGTCATAACTAAGAACTAAATGATGTTAGTTTATATACCTCATTATTTTAGATTTAGAATTAAAAAGGACAGAGGGCATTATAAGTACAAGTAAAGGCATACCGTACAACCCAATCGCGTAGGACAGCCCTCAATGAACATTAGAGTCTTGATGGGCCTTTTTCCTCCTTCAACAAGACCAGCATGCTCCTCCGCAAACTTCTCAAAATAAAAGGAGTCACAGTGCTTTAGCTTTTGACCATTCAAATTATCACATGATAGAATTGGTGAACCAGTACAACGTGCAACTCTTTCAAGGCGATGAAGCTTCATATCAAGTACTAGTGTCATTCCTTTCTTCAGAATTGACTCTTGTATGTCACGAGAAACGGTTTTCTCCACTAAAATAACATTTGCGTGGCACTTTTCTATAAGGTCGGTTATAGATTTTAGATAGTCTTTCTCCTGTTAGCAAGTAAATGATTAGAGACAGAATACACTAAGGACAGTGATAGAATCCCTTATCTTGGCTCCTATCAGACAGAAACCAAATCAATTTAACTACCTGTTCCATAGAGTCAAATGAGGACAGGCCACTACAAGAATGGCCAAGCATCCCACTGATCAGCAACAGCCTTGGATTTTTGTAATTAGTTGGCATGTGCTTGTGTGCAGCATGTTTTTTGAAGACCAAACCTTTAATAATTTGACTGCAATACCAAATATAATGAGTATACAGGACTAATGTCTAGGTCAAAAAACAATATTGTACATCTCATACATGAAACAGAGCGAGTATCCATGGAATTGTTTACAGTACAAAACAAAATTATCAGTTGAAAACCAAAATAAAGCATTTCAGGGACAAAGGAAGTTTCTTGGAAGGATAGGAAAAGAAAAGTCAGCAGAACTCAAGGATATCTTACTTCCCACGCAACATTTTGGGAGAAAATCACATTGACAACAACGTAACAGAAAGGACAAAACAAAACAAAAATTCTTTTTGAATAATCAGTAACCACGTAATACAAATATAATAGAACGGAATACAAATAGCCAAAGAAAATCACATAATAAAATATGAATGCAGCATTACGAAAACTTATATATCGCTGTATAAAAGGCAACATATATCCAAAAAGTAAAAAACCACTAATAGTTAAAAGATTGAGTTACAACTAATTATCTAAAATTTCAGTTGAAATATTAACAAAGCACCTTGAAATAAGTTCTTACAGTCGAACTATTTTTACCTTTGGCTGCATGTACCAGCTGCAATACATTTTACTTTAACATACCCATCAGGATTCATTGATTTAACTGCAATAGCGTCAGGCTTCAAAAATGAAGCAGCTTCCCAAGATAAAGAAGTGACTATGTCCACCCAATTGTTACCACCATCATTGGAAGAGGAGACACCAACAGATTTTAGAAGCTGACCTACAAGTGCCTTAAATCTCCCATTTATTACTTCTTGCATTGCCCTTAGCTTTTCCTCCTTGAACTTGTAAGACCCGCTCAATTCATCTTTAGAGCAATTCAAAGAGGTTGGCTCACCCCAGTTCACACTATCGGTGCACTCATCATCATCATCATCACAACCAACATTATGGTCTACATCATCTTGTAGGTTTTCTGGATCAGGAGGTTCCCATGTTTGGATATCCAAGTCTTCAGGAATAGAATATTCAGGTTCTTCATCAACAGATGAAGCAGGCTTCTCAGAACTATCCGCTTTTGCTTCTTGACTGCTCTGTCCTTGAGAAATCTCCACATCTCTCACAACATCCCCTCCATTGTGGCCATTGCATTTTGCGGAATTGTTTTCCATGATATTAAGTGATTTTTCACTCATTCCTTCTGAATACTTTAAGCTTGAGTTTTGCGCTTTTTCATTCAATTTATAGTCATGATCTTCCCTACTAACATCAACCATGGCTTCTTCTCGACTTACCCTACCAAAAACATATTAAATAAGAACTTGAACAAGCCCAAGGTAACAATTATAATCACAGCTCTCTGTTGACAAAAGTACCTGTCGGAGGAATTCATGTCAACTGAAAAATCACCTGAAAGATCAGATAATGAGGGGTTTAGATTCAAATTAATAATTTTACAATTTTACAATATTGGATAAATAATAAATCAAAAATAAAATTGACAAAGAAAACAGTAACTTACTGCAGACGGAAGCACAGCTGTCAGTGCTAGACAATGAAGTGGTGGGACTAATCAGTGGTGTCATACAAGGACTAGTACTGTCCCGTTTCACGCTTTCTTTCTTTTGTTTCTCCCCACAAAATTTACAAGGCCTGATGGGAACTTTGCTATCCAACTTTAAGTTGCCCTGATTGCCTCGATTCTTGTCATCAAGTTTTGAGTCCGTCAGGCCTGCACCACAATAATGGCACATACTACACATCCGGTCCAAAACTGATGCAGAAATGGCCAATTAAAAAGAGGCCTGATCCTATCCCGATGCAAGTCCAAGAAAAAATTATCAGTATAAAACAAATGTTGAACCAATTTCATAATCAAGACCATCTTGAATAAACCAAAATTTCCTAACTGAACAGTATAGGTTTCGAACTAAAAAAATAACTTCTTTTAATTAAACTTGTAGATGCACATAGTTCAAATTTGGTTTCTTCCCTTCCCTGATAAAGAAATACTTGGTGAACAATAAAATTCCAATTAAACAGTCGTATCTTTGTATAGAAATATTGTATCCAGAGATGAAATTGGTCATAATGACAACTTGAGGCTAAAATCCACTTAAAGACTAAATGAAAATTGCATAAATTCGTGAATTCAATAAGATGTCCGAGAAAAATCATTTGAGGCTTTATCTGTTCCTTACATGAAATATAACAACACTTTAGAAATTCCCTAATATAACCACTACTACTTGTGGAGGACATTTACTTTAAGAGGAAAAAAATGAACATCTATACATTAACTTCTGCTGCTTGATTATATCAATCAAAATAAATATTACTTCACAGCAAGAGATCATATTCCAACTATAAGAAGGGCTTTTCTCACAGGTGAAAATATGTTCAAGAAAAGCAGGAAATCATTTTTTTCCTTGATTGATGCATCAGGCACAAGAGCATGTAGAATTATTCTGCAATCGTAATTTTCCATAAATCAAACAAGTCCAGAGGAAACAAAAATCAGTTATCACCTGTGTGTGTGAGAGGGGGGGGGCAGAGAATTCAAAAGAATTGTCAGCCACTAAAATGCCAACATGGCACAACAAACTCCAGAAATTCAATCCGGTGAGAGATAGAAGATCAAAAGTTACGGTCCAAACAATAGAGCAGCATCGGATCAAAAACGATACATCAATTAGAAACAGAGCACTCAAAAAGAAATTCATCCATCTTTATGGCCGGCATGCATCAAACTATCTGGTGATATTTACAATCGAACTTAGTACGGACTCCAAAAAGGGTGTAGATTGCGCACGGTCTCAAATATTGTTACGCGGAATGTCTAAACCAAAGTAAGGAAGTTAATTCTTGATCCACATTTTATTTCCAGGAACACGAAACTCTGATAAAAACCAAAAAGAAAGGAACTTACTGTTTGAACCACATAAATGATAGGACATATACATATACATATACATATATATAAAGAATATAAAAATGAGAACCAGTTGCAATCTTTGAAATTGCGAGTACTCGGATGTGCTCAACACACTAGAAGAAGTGAACGAAAACATAAATACTTGAACAAGAACTTCATAAGAAATAACAAAACCCAAGGAACCAAACTTCTTCTCACCCAAAAACTGATCTAGAGAAATTAGATAAAATCGTCAATCACTCTTCAATTGCGCGGATAGCAATCAATTAGAACCTTCGATACTTTCCCACAACAGACCAAGTTCCATGAAAGAAATTGTCATTTACAACTCAAGCCAAGACAACGATAAGAACCCATGACTGAAACAACAAAAATAAAAGAAAAAATAGGGAAGAAATGCAGAGCTTACCGTCAAAGTAATCCCAAGGAAGAAAATTATGGATATGACCACCAAATCAATCCTAGTTCCCAAGCATTGTGGGAAGCCTCTCGAACACACGATTCGCTTTGATAAGTAAAGAATTTGGTATTAGCCCACTGTGCGTGAGATTCAGATAAACCAACCACATAGGCAAGGAGGGAAGAAAAAAATAGTTGGGATTATTTCAGGAGGAAAGGGAAGCGGGTTGAAGAAGAAACACAAAGAAATGGAAGATTGAAGCCGACCGGAAAAGAAAAGAAATGAAGTAAATACCTGTGGAAAGAAAAAGAAAAGAAAATTTACGCAGTGGGGTCCACTCTAATTGCTTGTTTGCCTGCAAGAGTTTCGAGATTTTTTTTCCCTTGATGACCGAAAATAAAGTGTATTAGCAGTGTCGCTTCTACCGTATACAGTGAGCTATACGCTAGATTCTTGGGTTAATCTTTGTCCGGAAAACACGTAGATTTATATATATCTTATTTTGCACTCAAGCCCCTCGTATTTTTTATATTTCAAAATTGGAACACACCGGTCAATTTGTCAAAATGCTTCAAATCCGCGTGCCATTAATTGCTTTCCCAATGTTCAAGGCACCATTCAATTGGATATACTCCCCCCTTTCTTTACTTATAGTATAATCATAATTAAAAATTTTAAACAATTAATAAATAAAAATGAAGCTTGGAAATTGTTATTATAGGTAGGTACATCTATAACAGTTTAAAGAAAATTAGGGTTTGAAATTCTGAAAAAGGAACTATTAATATTAAATTATACACGTAAGGCATAATAACAATGTCAGGTCAAATCACTCTCAAATAGGGTATTACATAAATTTTCAGATTTGATTTAGAGAAAATGTTGTAAAAGTCGGCTTCTTAGAGTACATGCATGATATTAATATATTGAAATAAATAAAATAGGTACTTTTCCCTACGTTAGATTCGGATTAAATACATTTTCTTTATTAGCTAAGCGAGGATTCAAGTAATGCAATGGTACAAATTTAGCAACTAGATTTATTATCAGTTAATGTTAAAAACTTATAGCAATTAGGATCAAATGGGGTATCACATAAATTTTTAGATTAATTCAAAGAAAATATTAAGAAAATGTTCTTATCGTCCACATTTTAAAGTGTTGTGTATTGTTGTCTTTTTTTTTTTTGGTCAAAGCAGTGTGTATTGTTGTCAAACTTGAAAATTAACTCTGAGTTTAACAATTTTACATTTTTACTTTATAAAATTGTACCGAGTTTCTTTTAAACTCATGCTAGCTGTAAATTTAATTAAAACCACAAGTTTCACTTATCAAATTTATTATTTTTATATTTCTAGCTTACAAAATTGTATCAACTCACTGTTAAATTTGTGCTAATTTTTTGTTTATTTAACTATGATTAGTGACTTTATATTTGAACTTTATCGAAATTTCTTTATTGAGTAGGGTAAGCGATCAATGTTGGATTTAATTTCAATTGTCCAGATTTAGAACATATTTAGATGAAATTGCTTACCAATCTACTATTCAAGTTTACATTCTGACTTTCTGTCCTATAATGAGTTTTTTTTTTTTGTGTATCACTATAATGAGTTTGTTTAGAGCTGTGAATTTGATAACATTAGTGTCCATGCTTGAGTAATGCATTGAAACTTGAAATTACTTTTTCCTACGTTGGATTAGGGATGAGTACGCTTTCTTCATTAGCTAAGCGAGGGTTTAGGTAATGTAGTAGCACGTTGGCCAAAAACACTGTATTAGCACAAATTTAGCATCTAGATTTATCATTAATTAATGTTAAAAACTTATAATAATAAGTGTCAAATAGAGTATCATATACTTTTTTAGATTTAATTTAGGAAAAAATAATTAAGAAAATGTCAAATTCAACATTTTAAATTAGGTTAAAGTGCAAGTTTCTATTTAGGAGTGCTGGGTATCTTAATTTTTTTTCGGTGCAAATTTATCCCAAAAGTCTAAAATCATAGTAATATTACCTACGATTAATAAACTAACATTGATCATTAATATTTTTAACGACAAAAAGAAATACTACTAGCTACTTAACATTCTTGAGTAAAAACTTCATAAATAAATTTGTACATTTACCATTTTAAATTTAGACTACATGCATTATTGACATAAAAAAATAATGGTGTGCTTGGGTAACACATTGGAAATATTTTCTCCAAATTGGATTTGGTGGAAGTATGTTTTCTCCATTACTTAACCGTGAGTTTTTGTGTTATATTATAAAATGAGTCTTATATTCAGAATTAAAGAGAGTATATGTTTTGAATTTTCAAACTCACACTTAACTAATAAAAAATTATTGGTCAAACATTTCCAGATGTTAATATCAAGAAAACATGAATGAAATATTTCTTACACTTAGGAATAGAGGAGTATATATTTCAAGAAAATTATTGGTGAAACATTTCAAGAGATTGTATATCCTTTTTTTTTTTGGTTATGCAAGATTTATACTCATAGTTTGATTTGGAATGTGTATTTTTGGAAGATAAATTGAAGAATCTTAATCTTTTACGATGTAATGAATTTTATGAATTTATGAATTTGAAATGTAACAAAACATACATGAACTTAAGTCTGTTATACATAGTATTCAATTCATTAGGAGAGTGAATCAACAAAGATTTTATGTTCCCCTCAATTCATTCAATAATAAAGATTATTGATCTTTCTTACATTAATAAAATTAAGCTCCATTAAGATTTGATTTTGTTCAATGAATTATTCCTTTTATCCAATATCCATAAAAATATAAACTTCTATAGTGCATTAGTACTTTATAATATATTTCTATTTTAGGTAATTAATTTTAGTGAATCTTAATCCTCCATTTTATTGATAAACGGCATAAGGCGAATATGTAACTAATGAATATTTGAGAGTTCACTTGAAACCAACAATATTCCATTCATATTTCTATATTATTAGAAGCTCTAAAAGTAAAAAAAAATTATGGAGAATCATATTATTCATTAATATTAAATAACATATGAAAAATAACGTATAACTTATTTTTTAATACAATATAACTTACTTTTAAAATTTCAAACAGTATATAATGGCCCACATAGTTTACTTTCAAGGCCGGGGGATAAAATGAAAGATCATATTTAGTATTGTTCAAGGCACACATAATTATTAGCTGGGAATATTTATTCACTAAACTAATGATTGTGAGTTAAACCCATATTTTTATTATTTTACTCATCCATTTTTCCAATCATATATAATATATGTTTTAAATTATGTGATGTGGATTTTTCCAAACTTTTAATTCATGTGATATTAAGAGAGAGAAAGGGAAAAATTTATAATCCGTCTCTTTATTTATTTTTATTCTTTTTAATTCAAATGAAATTCACTTTAAAAATACGCTTTACCGTCAATCTTCATCTGATTTAAAAAAAGAAAATAGAAAAAGAGGTATTATGACTCAAAATATCTTTAAAAAAAGGTTGAAATGGACATTCACTTTTGAATACAAATTTCTGTGTTTTGGGGAAAAATTGTATATTTGCTGGTCATAAATCACCGTCGGAAAATAAATAACAATAATAATAAATATGAATCTTTGAAAGAATATAAGAGGATATTCTTTTCACTTTCAATTACAATATATCAAAGTGTGAAATCGATTGAAGATGATTGAGTTGTGAATAATTTGACTTATTTTAAAAACTTTATAAAATATAAAATTTATAATATTATAATTATAGTTTATATTGTGAATAATTTGACTTTTTTTAAAAAAAAATTAGTTTACATAATACAAAAATTGGTTAACTTTATTTTTTAACTCAAAATTATCATCTTATGACCCAAAGGAGTCGACTCAGCTAGAATTTATACAAACTTGTCCGGCTAGTTATAAGATCTAACAAAAGGAGTTACTTCCTTACAATATGACGAACTGATATTCAAATTCTCATTTGAGAGGTGCCTACATTTAATATTCAACAATGTTTGAACAGGATTATCTCCAATAGAATGATACATAGTTAAAAAAAAAAACTTATTTGTCTACTTAAATATATTTGTTGATATAGTCTTTTTTAAACCCACATAATACAAGTGAATTTCTCAATCTAAATAAGAGAGGGAAGGAGACGATAAAAACATTTTATTGGTCACAATTAAGATTATATAATTAGTTTAAAAAAAAAATTAGAGACGTTATTTGTTTTTGTTTTCTATTTTTATAATTTTATAATAGTCTTATAAAATCATTTTTTAAAATAATCTTTGAAAAATAAAAAGCTAAAAAAATATGTTTGGATTGTTATTCTCAAAAAATTGCATTTGAAAATAAAAATATAAAAACTTGTTTGGAATAATTATTCTTAAAATCAACTTGGAGAGTCAATAAAGGGTGAGAGACGTAATAAAGAGTGCAACGAGGATGGCTTGAGAGCCGGCGGACTGAAAAATGACGTAGACGAGTGTGAAAGACAAATCAGGGAGTGTGGCCACATGTGATAAGGAGAATTAAAAAAAATAGCAAAATAAAATAAAAAAATAGAAAACAATAAAACATGTTATGGTTGTTTTGAGCTTTTTTGTTTGCAAAATTTTTTGACAAAATACTCAATTAAAAATTAACAACTGAATAACTCTTTTTTCTTTTTTCAAATAAAAAAATTTTTCAAAACAAAAAAGCAAACAACACAGAAATTTTTTTTGTTCCGTTTTATTTATGTTTTCTTTTTCATTCTTTGAGTCATCAATTATTGAAAATACATTTTAATAATTTATATCATCAAATAAATTTATATCTACACCATTTAAATTTAATTTTGAATGATAAAGTTAAAACTTAAAAGGACGAGGTTGAGAGAAAATGAATCGAAAACTATAAAAACTAGTCAATCTTCATGCCTGAAGAAGTGACTGATTCCAGCAAATTAAGCCGCGTTGAGGATAAAAAAATTGTTGGAGTTATCATTTTTTTTATCCATACCAATGTTGTTAAGAAAAGATCTTTTACAAGAAAGTTGGTTAGAGATTTATTGTAAAAACTCAATATATAACGAGAATACTGCAAACTTTGTTCATTCTATGTATTTTTATCATTATGCACATCAAACAAGAACCGTATGAGTTGAAAATCTCATGTATGGCTCTAGAACAGAGATTCTTTAAATTAAATGATGAACATAACAAATGTCAGCTCAATCCAAAGGAAATTATGCGTAAGTGTTATAG